AAGTGATTCATCTAAAGCAGGGGTGCCCACAATTTTTGTGTTAAGTTCTACTTTTTAAATGACGAGCTAAATGAGATCTACGAACGAATAAAAAACCTCCCTCGCTCTCTCTCTCCTGTCTGTCTCTCCTTGCTCATCCCCCTGTCTTTCTCTCCTCTCTCACCTGGCTGTCTTTCCTCGTTTTCTCTCCTGTCTGTCTCTCTTCGCTCTCTTGGCTGTCTCTCATTGCTCTCTCCCCTGGCTGTCTCTCCTCACGCTCTCTCCCCTGGCTGTCTCTCATTGCTCTCTCCCCTGGCTGTCTCTCCTCACGCTCTCTCCCCTGGCTGTCTCTCCTCACGCTCTCTCCCCTGGCTCTCTCTCCCCGCTCTCTCTCCTGGCTCACCTTGCTGTATTTTGCAGCAGGCTGTGTAAACTAATATTCTTTGATGTAATACATAGCACTTCAACCACCAGTATTTACCAGAAAGGTGTCAGGGAGCTTGGCTCAGCAGACTCAGGCTGATAGGTAATCATATGTGCACAGCTAAATAAATATGCCAAAATGGAATAAAGGGGCCACCATTTACACCCTTCGTGATCTACCAGCATCAGCTTTGACAGCTACTGGTAGATCACAATCTACCAAATGGGCACCCCCGGTCTAGAGACACAGTTTGTGTTAAATCCAAATGAAAAGGCTTGTGATGATTGGACTGTAGCACAAGAACAATTGAGGCATATTGAAAGTCGGAAAGCTAAAAATAAACTATTTTTTGGTAATCAGAAGTACTGGGAAGAGGGAGAAAGTTCAGGAAGACTGTTGGCACAACTGGCAAAGGCGCAAGAGCAAGTTCCATTTGTAAATGTGTTGAAGGATATGGATGGCCAGATGTGCAGCGAGTCCAACAGAATTCCTTCAATCTTTAAACAGTATTATGAAGGGGTTTATACTACTAGAGTAACTTATAGCAGTGTGGATCTGGCGAGCTATATAGGTAATATCCCATTTACTACTTTATCGCAGGTTGACAAAGAGAGTTTGGAAACCCCTCTTACTATTCAAAAATTAGAGGTAGTGGTGGCTAGTTTTCCAAAGGGGAAAGCTCTGGGTTTGGATGGGTTACCAATAGAGATACATAAGAAATATGCCTCCACTTTGCTTCCTGTGTTATTACAAACTTTTGAGGAAGCCTTAGAAGTAGGAAAATTACCTGAGTCAACGTATATGGCTGCAATTATAGTTTTACAAAAGAAGGGGAAGGATGTGTTACTCCCAGAGTCATATAGGCCTATATCTTTGTTGGGAGCCGATGTTAAGATTTTGGCAAATGTTTTAGCGATTAGTTTATCTAAGGTTATTCAGAAGATAATAAACCCGGATCAAAGTGGATTTATGCCTAATAAGTGAACGGCAGATAATGTGCGAAGGGCATATGTGAATATGCAAGTACCTTTAGAGATAATGGGAAATAGAGCTTTATTATCCTTGGATATTGCTAAAGCATTTGATAGTGTTGAATGGGATTATCTATGGGTAATATTAAGAGCATTTGGTTTTGGTCCCCGATATATTTCATATATTCAATTATTATACGCCAATCCCTCAGCAAGAATTCAAGTAAATAAGGCCCTATCCTCAGCTTTTAAACTGGCGGGGGGAACTAGACAGGGGTGTCCCCTGTCTCCCCTTTTATTCGCACTGTCGATAGAACCGTTAGCTAACTTAATAAGAAATTCAGATAAGATAGTGGGGTTTAAGCATAGTAAAGTAGAGGATAAGATACTACTATATGCAGATGATACATTGGTCTTTTTAGCTGATACTAACCACTCTCTACTAGAAGTGATGTCTTTACTTCTGGAATTTGGTAGGTTCTCAGGGCTATGTGTGAACTGGGAAAAATCCATGTTACTTCCGATTGATCCGCTTCCTTGTCCATTGCCGATGCAAATTCAGCATATACAAACAGTTGAATCACTTTCTTATTTGGGTGTCAGGATTAGAGTAAATGTTGAGGCATATTTAGAAGATAATTTAATATCAATTTTGCAGCAATTTCAGAAGTAATGCAATGTATGGTGTAAACTCCACCTTTCACGGATTTTAAATCCCATTAAAATTATTTGGATGCCTCGGCTCTCTTATATACTGTACAATTCTCCATGTTGGATTTCTCAATCTATATTTAGGAGGATAAATACAGTATTTAGGGAGTTAATATGGAAGAAGAAACAAGCACGGATAAAACTAAAGGAACTGGGGGGTTAGCACTTCCAAATCCATGGGCACACAGATAAGACACTTGGAACTTACCAGGACAGAGGATAGGGGCATATGATATCATTAATTGTCTGTTTCAAAACAGAGACCCTCCCTATGGCCCTTGAGACTACTTTATATCTAAAAGAGTTTTCATCTTTACCTACTATAAGACTAATTGGTAAAATGTGGAAATCAATTAAGGTGGTTATTGGATATTTCTGAATTTACAAAATACACTTCAATATGGGATAATGGGGTATTACATGAGGTAAATTAACTCCAAGGATTTGGAGTGTGGAAGAAAATGGGGATTGAGACATTGGTGCAAATATGTGCTCTTTCCAACAATTACAAGCAAGTTATTTAATACCGAATGTTCAATTCTATAAATATTTACAACTGAGGCATGCGCTTACGGTACATCCAGGCGTACATGAGGTTTGCATTAATGTAAATATGGTTATAGATAAACTTTTTAATGCAACTTTGACGAGAGGGTTAATTTCACAAATGTATTCAAAGTTTTTGCCAGGAGTCCTGAATGAATCTCATATAAAATGTAAAGTGGGTTGGGAACTGCATGTGGGCCCACTGGATGATACCATTTGGAGGGAGGCATTGCTTTCAATCCAATTAGTTTCACCTTCTGCATCGCATAAATTAACACAGCTCTTTATTGTACATAGAACATACGGGACCCCTGAATTCCTATATAGGATAGGACTCAGGGAAGACTCTAAATGCTCAAAGTGTGGGTTTGAACCAGGTTCGTTGATACATCTGCTGTGGCGATGCCCGAAGTTGAAACGATATTGGCAGGAAATAGTGGACATAATATAATAAATATAGCCTTTGGAGTTCATATTTCTAAAAATCCATTGATATGTATTTTGGGTATTTTTGGATCTGTGAAGGTGGAATACTATAGGAAGGTGGCAATAATGAGGGCATTGTTTGTGGCTCGGCGTAGTATAGCCTTTAGGTGGATTTCAGCAACGCCTCCCACAGTAGAGGATTGGAAGAAAGAACTAGATAAAGTGGTTGGATTTGAGGGAATTATGTTTAAACATAGAGGTAACATGGATAAATATAGCAAAATGTGGGATAAGTGGATTGAGTATAGAAATGGTGTTTGTCTATGATGTCTCTTTTTCTGCTACTGGTATTAATGTGTTTTTAGGTAATATGGTATGATGAGAATTTTTTGTTTTTGGTTAATGTATTGGTTTTTGTATTGTTGTTTTAATTATGTATTTATGGATGTAAAAGTGTTTGTTATATATTGTCAGCGTTTAAAAAATCCAGCCCAACATGCAGCTTCCCGGCCGGCCGTGTAATTACGAGAGCTTTACATTTAAGCGATCGAGCGTCTCAAGACGCCCAATGGCTTGTATTACCAGCAGCTGTCACTGCCGTTGCCGGTCAGCTTCTCTGGGGGTTCTTAGGTGACATTAGGGGTCTTGGAGACCCCGATGTCTTCATAAAGAGGACCTGTCATGTAAATTGGCTATCACATAGGGGGATTCTTAGCCCCCCCATGTGATAGCAATAAAGTTGGGTAAAAAAAAAAAAAGTAATAAAAAAATTAAAGAATCATAATTTCCTCCGCCCCCCACATACACATGCAGATATGCATCTGGTGCGCCTACGTGCGAAAACAACGATTGCGCCTATTGTGGCGCACATGTTACATATAACCGCGAACGTCGGAGTGTGAGCAATAATTTTAGGTCCATCAATCACTGATAACACTAAACTTATGAGCGGTAAAAGCGTTAAGTGTCGCCTATGGCCAATTTTCAGTGTGGTCGTTATTTGCGATTTTGCAGGAGCACGCAATTTTAAGGCTTGACATGTTTGGTGTCTATTTACCCAACGTGACCCTGTCTTTTATGTTTTACCAAAAATATGGGTAAGAATAGATGTTTTATAACATAATGTAGGGAAACTTTGATTTTTTAAAAATTTACTTTACTTTTTTCATTATATAGTAAAATATAACCCAAACCGTGGTGATTTTATATACCACCAAAAGAAAGCTCTATGTGTCCCCAAAAAATGTTAACATAAATTGCAAGGATATAGTCCGGTCATGCTGACTGGTGAAATTTTTGACTGAAAACACCCTACAGACTTGTAAAAATAGGTTATGTTTAATTGGTGTATTGCTTAATGTCTAAACTGTCCTTTGCAGATTACCACGCATGATGTACATAGTTGCTTTCTTTAGGGAGTGATTCTGCTAGTCAGCTGCTTAGTTTAGGGCTATGTTGGCTTGGTGAATGGTAAAGATAAGAGCAGATAAGAGTTGCCTTGCCACCACTTCCTGGCTTTGGGTTAATGCAGTCATCATATACCTTACTATATCATTCCCTCATGATTTACAGCTCTGGTAATCTCTATGCTCAGCTGTCTCTCCATTCATAAAAGAGAAAAGATTACTTGTATCCCAACTCACATCTAAGGATCACAACAACCAGTTCATCCTAACACATACAACTTTGTGCGGTATAGGCATTCCTCCTTATCAGTGAGATACAATACTGGCTTCATATACACAGCCAGTAGAACTAATACAGCCAGTATGACCTGTGACACAGACAGACTGCGAAGCGCTCATACACCAGCCCTTTATTATCTCTGTCACACCCTCGGTCATACCTCCTACACAACCTGTTCACCATGTGTCACACTACATACTTCCCTCTGTATCTGAGTTTCTCACACAGGATCAGTGCTCGTGCAGAGTTACCTTTGTCACTCTAAGGTGAGTAAGGATTTTTGTGAGACATTTTTATTCAATCTTTTCAATAACTCCTTTTTCTTTTTCCAAGTGCCATTGGTCACAAGCTGCCAATATACCATATACTGCATATTAGCTTTTAAAAGCGCAATGTCAGTTGTTTGATGACTTGACAAGACTGTATTTTTTGCCCAGAATGAATCGTCTATCGTAATATTCAAATACAAGGATAAACATAATTATCATAGAGAGACACCTTTATTTGCCCGAACGTTAATTTTGTAGTGTAAATAAAACAATGGTGTGCAGTTACCAAAGCAGCTAAACACATATCACGTCTGTGAGGCTTGGTGTATTCAAGCTGACAAGCTGATTTCTTATTGCTGAGCTTCTACATTCCTTTTTGCATTATGTTTTTAAATTAAGTTGATTCTCTGCTACTTTCAGCAGTGTTCTGTCACTATGTTTTACAAATCTAATCAATCAAGCCATTCAGTAATTCACAAGAAAGTTTGGTGCAGTTGTCTTTCAACACTCCATATTCTACATTAAAGTAAAGGCTCCTGTATGACAGTCTAAATTAGCCATATTCAACCAGTGTGCCATTGCACCCTGGGGTGCCTTCTGGCTTTGGCAGGGGGGCCTTCCAAATTTTGCACATTCATTTTAATGGCGCAGGCAAGTCGGCTACCGCATGACACGACTACAGACCGGCTGTATCCAGGCACACCGTGGTGAAGATTATAAGTTAGGACTCTGATGTGAAGTAGGTACTGAGGACTGATTTGAAGGAGGGCTCCTGATGTGAAATGAGGGGGACTCTGATTGGAAGGGGGGACTCTAATGTGAAATGGAGGGACTACATATCCAGCTCATAGTGGGAGGGTTTCAGCAACAGAGTAAACGCTGTTAATCCAGGAAGCAGTGGACAGGACTAAGTGTGGACACAGGCTAATTGAGAAGCTACACACTTATGAATCATAAGTGATAATGCTGATAGCCAAACCCCCTGCAACATGTACTTTTCCCACTGTAGTGTAAGCAGGCATAGCCTTCAGGAGAATGGTAATGCTGATCTGAAATCAGGAGCAGTACAGCATTATTGACACACCATCACAGGTGTGTCAATAATGCTACATTAAGGTGCCCATACACCTTACAATTTATCTGCAGATTTTCTGTGGTCAGATGGAAAAGGTGCAACAGATTCCTCCATCTACATTAAACTGTGTGGATGGAGGAATCTCCACCTGGGCCAATCTGTTCCACTTTTTCCATCTGACCACAGAAAATCAACAGAGCAAGTGATCAGCCTACGGTTCTGTAGGCAGTGAGCGGTGGTTGGGGGAGGAGCCGGAGACGAGACCCGATCGTCTCCTAGCAACGGGACGCCGCTGGGCCGAGCTCGCCACGTCATCACGCCGGCTCAGCTGACGAGCGGGGGGAGGAGTGGAGCGCTGAATAGATCTCACTGACTCAATTAGCTACACTGACTAATGTAGCTCAATTAGCTACATTAAGTGGATCTCACTGACAGGATCAACAGGTATATGTACTGAAAATCACATGCTGTATCGCTTAGGGCCATAGAGGTTATAGTTCTACTTAATTATTTCTTGAGTACTTGCCCTAGTCGTCTGCTGAAAGCAATTAGCTGCAGTAGGGTATTAAAAAAACAAGGTCGGTCTTTTTTTAATGTGTACTTTATTATTATTATGATACATGATTTATATAGCGCCAACAGTTTGCACAGCGCTTTACAATATAAGGAAGACATTACATTTACAATACAATTCAAGACAAGATGGTAAGGAGGGCCCTATATACACATACTGTATATCATTTCACTGAGACTACTTGGGCAACACTTCTGTTGGTTTACTAAAAATTTGGCAGAAAAGCAGTAACTAAAATGTTAAATGCTAATACATTAAAATGAAAATATATATATATATTTTTTTAGCATAGAAGATGTTTTATTCTCTATTAAGAATGAACGCTCACAAATATTCAAGGTAGCAATGTTGTTGTCATGCGTTTGTCATAGAGTATGTTTCTTTTGATAATAAAGTCTATCTTATATTCTAATACTTAATAAGAAAGTTTAGATAGATTTTAAATAGACTTTCTTATTAAAGCTCACCTGTAACCCACAGCTATTAATGGGATGAATCAATATTTATGAGTAGACTATTCACTAAGAACAGAGATACCAGTGAAGTACTTAGTGAATAGCTATTCACAAGCTTCTGGTTCCTGGTAAACTGATAGGCTGTATTTAGAACAGGAAACAGACTGGCTGTCACCTTTACGCCAGGTGACAGGTGCAATTGTTTCAAAGCCCTTTATTAAGCCCTATGCTCTTGTTCTTCTACAAGAAAAAGAGGTTATCACTTTTGTTTGTTTTCACCTAGAATGCCCCCCAGTATATTTGCAAGAAATAGCTCGGAGATTGATTGGTGTGAAGTAAACTACCTGCACTCGGAATATGTGGCAGAATACTACAATACGGTATGTTAGTGTGTGGAATAATGTTATGTACCATTTCACTGTTGGAGCTGTACCGAAATTTATAAGAAGTCACTGGGTACTGATCATATCTCTGAGGTAGCATATAAGGCACGCCTGACAATTTAATAATGATATGAATGAATATAGAGTAGACAAAACTAGACAGAAATTTTACTACCAGTATTTTTTCAAAAGTGTGATAACCGAGTATTTAATACATTTAATCGTTTTCTTATGAACATAGCTTTCTCTGAATAAATAATCTGTCTTAATTCTGATCAGCAAGATATTTAATGCACACTCTTCATATTTGAAGGCTTAGTTCCCCTTTAATTGTTTTTTTTTTAATCTATTAACATTTTATCTTGTAATGCATATTGAAATGCTGCATTCCATTTTCAAAAAAGACAGACCCGGAGAGACTGAGCGGAGGGGCTACATGACTGGGGGGGAGGAATAGTCCCGGGAGAAAGAGTTAAAAAATAAAATGGGGATAGCTGCTCTTACCTGATTGGACGTGGGGAGGAGCCGCATGGGAAGGAACTGCAAGGGCTGAGGGACGTCCTCTTTCTGAAAATCGACAAAGGGAGCAGGTTGGTCTGTTCTTCACCCTGCTAGGAAAAAGAAAAGACAATTTTGCCATGAGTGACCTGGAGTCCCTATTGGCGCAGGTCAGGGAGGCTGCTGCACAAAAGGGGCCCCAGTGGCTCCAGGAGCAGTTAACTGATGTGTTAGGGGGTTCCAGGGAGGCTCCATCTTGCCCCCCTGTCCCAAAACGTGCTAGGAGGTCTAGGCCTCCTGAGCGCTTGAGCCCACCTATTTCCCCCAGGGTCCTGCGTCGCTATGGGAGCCCCTCCAGCCCCTCGCCTGCAGCCTCTGCGTCCGCGGTGAGGGCTGGAAAGCCCAAGGGAGGTCGGCCTGCTTCTTTGCCCGCTTCCCCATCCAGCGTTCGCCCGGATTGTGCGGCTGCCTCTGCCGCTGATGTGCCCGGCGCATGGGTGGCCCGGCATGGGACCCGTGCTGCTGCAAGCGGCTGGGAGACTGCATCTCCCTCCGCTTTGCCTTCCCCACGACTGCCTGCTGATCTGGCCTCCCCCTCCAGGGCTGCTGTGTTGGAGAGGGGGGCCCATCGTGGACCGGGACCTGTAACGGGTGGCGGGAGGGGTACTCTGCATGGGGACGTGCTTACGGCCTCCCCCACTGCTGATGTACCTAGCGGGGGGGGGCCCGCCGTGGATCCAGAT